CTTTCTGATGTGTTGAAATTTTATGGGAAACATTGTCATATATGAAATAGTGTTTAGCTTTCTGTGCATAGAAATTTGTGTTAATGAGTTTTCCAAAATTGTATGAGATTCTTAAATATTTGTTATGTATTAGTATGTAATTAGTCATACTTGTAATGCTAAATAGCTCTCATATAGTTTGTCAGAAAAATGATCAAATTTGTCAATTTTCAGTTATAGTGAAATCAGATCTCAAACCATGGCCATTTTAAGTTTCATTTTCTATAGTTAATTGCTTTATTCTGATGCTCTTTCTAAAACATTTTAAAGTAGGCTACACTTCAAAATTGCCTCTTTTAAGGGAATTAATGAAAAAGGCTCAAATCAGTACTCTTTTTTTTTTTTAATAAGTACTCTTAAATATAGATTTTTGATAACTTTGAGATCTTACTTCTGAATGTCCAGGATTTACCATGGGGCGGGCGCCACCACGCCCTGAATGTCCAGGATTTAAATGGAAACATTGGACCACAGTAACACTGCAAACTCAAAAGAAGAGAGATTAATTACATGAGACTGAGCTGGTGAAAAAGAATTTCATGACTTTTGACTAAAACATTACTGATTTTTTTTAAGAATGATTTTATTTAACTTTATTTTTTATTATCATTATTATTTTTCAGTTTGATCAGAGAGAGAGAGAGGAAGTGAGAAAGCAAGTCACCAGGTCCGAGACTTGAACCATGGTCGGCCATGTGGGAGTCCAGCGCCTTAGCGCCTTTAACCACCACGACACTTGCCGGCCCCAATTACTGATTTTTTTCTATGCTTTGTTTTTTCAGATTTAGGAATTTTTGTTTCCTTTTGAGCTATTGATAGCTCCAGCATTTGATTAAAAAAGTTTTTTTTTGAAAATGTAATTGAAACATAAACTTTTCTCCCTTCTTGACCCCTCCAAGATTGGAAAGTATTTATGAATATTCTTATGTTGTGGCTGAATGGTTATTTGCATAAGTTCAATATTACCTGTTGCCTTACATCAGAAATTGGAAACACTGGTTATTGCCCAGGATTTGACTGGAATGTCATATCTTCAGATATGACCAGAAAGCTAAAGATTTAAGGTTGCTCTCAAGAGAGCCAACAGAAGCTCTTGGAAAGATTGCCTGGTACCATAAACAGTTCCACCTGGCAGGTAAGTAAAGAATGTTACTTCCTGGGCCTGCAAGTGATGTAGTAATTAAGGGCACTGGACTTGAACATGGCTGACCTTGGTTCAAATCCCACACCTGGCGGCTAACTTTCTTATTTTCTCTCCTCTTCTCTCCTCTTCTCCCCTCTCCTCTTCTCCCCTCTCCTCTCCCTTCCCCTCTCTTCCCCTCCCCTCCCCTCCCCTCTCTCTCTCGCTCTCTGTTTGTCTCTAGTCAAATTTAAATAAATAAATGTTTAAAAAAAAAATAAAAGTTCTTTTTTTGAAGTCATGTCCTGACAGGCCTGAAAACCTCCAAGTATAGGTACTTAAAGGCACAGATGGTGAATTCCTGACTTGGCTCAGTAGCTTGGGAGGCTTTTTGAAGAGCCTAATCTGGGGCCAGCAGGTGCCATGGTGATTAAAGGCACTGGACTCCAACATGGCCAACCACGGTTCAAGTCCTGGACCTTTTTGCTTGCTTGCTCACTTTCTCTCACTTGCTCTCTTTTTCTCTGTCTCTGTCTGACCAAACTGGAAAATAATAATAATAATAATAATAAATAAGGTAAAATAAAATAGTTCTTTTAAAAAAAGAGTCTAATCTGGAGTTGCTTGTAAAAGGTTCCAGAAAAACCAACTAAATCAATTAATATTCTTATTGCACTTTGTGCAAATAACAGACCAAATTGAAACTAAACTTATTTTTTTAGTTAGTTTATGCTTCTCTTTAGTAAAAAGGGGAATAGAGAGAGGAAAAAATATTTCAGAAGAAAACTACAGTGCAGTTGTTACTAGATTTTAGCTCTGTCCATATTAGTTTTTTAAGTCTTTAGTTTCAACTTACTGTTTGAATAGAATCCTAACCTGTTTCCTAGCTTTTAGTCTTAAGCAAATTTTTCTTAACTTTGTTTGATTTTGATTCATTAAAGGTAAAACTTCTTTTCTTAAAATTAAAAATAATAATTATTATACTAAACTAAAGACAGTGCAGGAGAATGGTGGACAATGGGGAGGTCAGGAGGGAATCAAAGGGGAAAAAGGAGCAGAACATTTAACGGATACAAAAATGGAAAATTGCGGGGAACCAGCAGTTAGCGTAATGGCTATGTCACTGGACTCCCACGTAGTCAACCGCGGTTCACATCCCGGACCCGGTGGCTTAAAACTCACGCCGGGCGCGTGTACGTGCGTGCCCAAGATCCCGAGAGGAGAATGGAGGAGAAGGGATTATGGCGTGGCCATCCCCTCTGGGGGGTGATTTCTCGCTTTCTGTCTCTATGTCTCTGTCTGTCTGGCGAGCGCACGTGCAGTATAGCAAAAACCTCTCAAAAAAAAAATGAAAATTGCTAATAATAATGTGTATGATAATATCTTTGGACCAATACGCAGTGTAATCCATGTGGAAAAATACATCCTGTATGCTGTAAAGATGTACAGTAATTTAAAAAATAATAATTAAAGAATAATAATTTTTTAAGTTAAAATTGATTCACTGTTTACAAAAGGCAAAAACTGAAAGTCACCTGAAGCCCCTCAACTATAGTATGCATAAATACAATGTGGCAAATAAATGATGAAAAAGTTAAAAAAAAAAAAAAAAAAAGGAAGAAGAAGAAAAAGGGACACAAATGGCCTGTGTTCAATATGCTTGAGTTACGGGACCAGCAGTTAGCGTAATGGCTATGTCACTGGACTCCCATGTAGTCGACCGCGGTTCCCGTCCCAGACCCGGTGGCTTAAAACTCATGCTGGGTGCGTGTGCGTGCGTGCCCAAGATCCTGAGAGGAGAATGGAGGAGAAGAGGTTGCGGCGTGGCCATCACCCCTGGGGGGTGATTTCTCACTTTCTGTCCCTCTTTCTCTCTCTGTCTGGCAAGCACAGGCTCCCTATAGCAAAAAAACCCACAAACAAACAAACAAAAAAAACCTCTCCAAAAAAAAAAAAAAAAAAAAAAAAAACAAAACAAATATGCTTGAGTCACTCTACAACTGGTGCTGGACCAGACTGGCTTCTTTACTCCTACCAGTAACTACTTCCACTGGCCAAACATAACTGGAAGCCAGTTGGTGAATGATTCTAGGAAGTGAAGTATAGTATAGTACAGGTTTCCAGGCCCTGCACTTAAAAGAATGCAGAGGGAGAGTGTGATAGTAAGCAATAGAAAAATGACTGGCACAATATTATCAATCAGGTGGATGCTAAATAATTTATAATCAGTTACATCTGATAGAAAATTACTTCAGAATGAATAAGACAAGTAAATAGCAGGAGTCTCTTTCCAATGATTTTTTAAGAAACCTTGCTTGTGAGGCTCATGAAGATGGCAGCGGCACAAGACTGAGCTAGGGAGTCAGAGGTTGTTGAGAAAAGGGACCAGCAGTTAGCATAATGGCTATGTCACTGAACTCCCACATAGCCAACCACAGTTCAAGTCCTGGACCCGGTGGCTTAAACTCACACCAGACGCGTGTGCGTGTGTGCCCAGGATCTCGAGAGGAGAACGGAGGAGAAGGGATTGTGGCGTGGCCATCCCCCCTGGGTGGGTGATTTCTCGCTTTCTGTCTCTCTGTCTCTCTGTGTCTTTTTGGCAAGTGCACGCATCCTATAGCAAAAATCTTTTCAAAAGAAAAGAAAAGAAAAAAAGAACTCGTTGAGAAAGTAGAGTAGGCAGAAAGGGGAGAGTAGGCAGTGCAGGATAGGTCCAGGGCAGGCGGCCAGGTATTTAAATGATGAAAAGCCAGCCTGGATTTTGGAAAAGACACCCTCTTTCCAGTTAGAAAGTATTTTGTCTTCAAAATCAGACAGAATTAAGGGAACACAAATAAAAAGCCTTCCCTTGTGTCTAGTAAGAGCCAATACAATTGATAAGGAGAAAAATCTTACTAATTATATGTAAAGTCTCTTTATATTGGAAGAAAACATCACTGAAAGTACAAAAGCTACAGAAATTAGCATCCTTCGATATCTTTAGACAGCTGAGTGAATCAGCGTAATAGAGTTATGTCCCCAAATTAACTTCCTTTCATATATCTCCCAGGCATATTCACAAGCATTTGAAAAAGGCTCACATTACCATCATTTGATACTTGATGCAAAAAATTTTTAACTTCTTTATATTTCTTCCACCCTCCCTCTGATTCATAAATTGCTTTGTTGGAGTTCACTGGGGATTATATGACTCAAAGATGAGTTAATTCCTATTTTGTTAGTTGGCATGAAAAACATTCAATGAGCAAGGCAAAGCCAGATGATTGTTCTAATAGTAAGCATGCATAGAGTACTTTAAAGACTGTTTTGAGAAATCTACCATAAGATACAGCACATTTAATTTAAAAGGATCTTAAAAACACTAGTTTTCAATGTGAATTCCTCATTTTGCCAGTGTATATGTATCCATACACAGACTCTAAATTTATGACTATATTTTGTGAGGTACCACTTTGAATGCTGCTCTAGACACATTTTTCTAGAATTATGAAGTAGTTTAGAATTACAAAAGATGGGAACCAGCAGTTGGCATAATGGCTATGTTGTTGGACTCCCATGTAGTCGACCACAGTTGGAGTCCTGGACCCGGTGGCTTAAACTCATGCTGGGCACATGTGCATGCATGCCCAAGACCCCGAGAGGAGAATGGAGGAGGAGGGGTTGTGGCATGATCATGCCCCCGGGGGGGTGATTTCTCGCTTGCTGTCTCTCTGTCTTTCTGGCAAGTGCACGCACGTGCCCTATAGCAGGAACAAAAAAAAAAAAAAAAAAAAAAAAAAAATTCCAAAAAAAATTTACAAAAGATGGTATTGGTATGTCTTTCTGAAACTTTTTTTTTCTCTAGGGTGCTGGGACCCATGATCACCAGCTGCCCAGTTAACCAAAAAATTGTGCTTCTGAAATCTCTTGATGTCAGTACTGTCCACAGAGGAAGCAAGCTACTTATGTGTCGCACTCATGACAAAAGCCGTTTTGTGAAACTTCATTTTTAATCTTACTTTCTTTTTTTAATTTGCCAGAGGGAGCATGTGTGTCCCAGAGAGAAAGAAAGAGAAAGGGGGAATGCAGAAAGTGAGAAAGCATCTTCCATGAGATGGTCACACCACAATCCCTTCTTTTCCATTTCTTCTTTCAGGATTTTGGGCACACACACACATGTGCCAGGCATGTTTTTCAGGCGACTGGGTCCAGGAATTGAACTGTACTGTCAGACATGTTGGACCATGCCACCATCTGACCTTGGAATTTCATAATTTTTTTAAGAATTATTTTTTATTTATTATTATTTTTTAATTTGACCAGAGAGAGAGAAAAAGTGAGAAAGCAAACAGGTCTGGGACTCGAACTGCATTTGGCCATGTGAGAGTCCAGTGTCTTTAACCACCATGCCACCTGCTGGCCCTGGAACTTTATTGTTTATAAGCTACCACTTGCTATTATGATATACATACTATATAATCGAAGGTAATTTTTTTAGATTTATTTATTTATTTAATTCCATTTGTTGTTGTTGTTGTTGTTGTTGTTGTTGTTCTTCTTCTTCTTCTTCTTCTTCTTCTTCTTCTTCTTCTTCTTCTTCTTCTTCTTCTACGTCTTCTTCTTATTATTATTTAATTTGTCCAGACAGAGAGAGAGACAGAAAGGGAAAACAAGAAGGCAAGCTGCTAGGTCTAGGACTTGACTGTGGTTGGCCATGTGAGAATCCAGCACCTCTAACCACCATGCTACCTGCTGGCCTCAGATAATTAATATTTTTTTAAAAATAAAGTCTCTTTTATATTAGAAGAAAATGTGTCATGGTGGTTAAGGTGCTAGACTCCAATACGGCCAACTGCAGTTTGAGTCCTGGACCCAGCAGCTTAAAAGTCACATCAGGAACGTATGCCCAAAATCCAAGAGGAGAATGCAGGAGAAGGAATTGTAGTGTGGCCATCCCCCAATGGGGTGATTTCTCGCTTTCCCTCACTCTGTCTCTCTCCAGCAAGCTCATGAGACTTATGGCAAAAACATAAATAAACAAAATAAGGTCATATACATTGATTCAATTTAAATATCAGACATGTTGAAGGCAATGGATTGAGTTATATTAGCTTGTGGAGCTTAAACATTTTCCTCTCTAATCTTAGAGGTGATAGGTGAACATTCAAGATGCACTCACAAGGACCAGCAGATGGCACGATGTTTACTTTGTTGGACTCTCACTTAGTCAACTATGGTTCAAGTCCTGTACCCGGTGGCTTGAAACTCACACTGGGTGCATGTGCATGCATGCCCAAGATCTCAAGTGGAGAATAGAGAAGGGATTGTGATGTGGCCACCCTTCCTGGGAGGTAATTTTTTGCTTTATGTCTCTGTCTCTCTGTCTCTCTGGCAAGTGCTCGTGCTCTGTAGCAAAAATCTCTCTAAAAAAAGAAAAAGAGAGAAATTCACAAAGAGCCCACTCCTTGATGCACTGGTAATGTGGTGCTCAAGAGAAACCAGATTGCCAGATTCTACATCATGACTTCAGTTTGAATCTTAGCCCAGGTAGGCTGGAAGACTGGTGGAAGAGGATTGCACCAAGGCAATCTCTCTCTTGTCTATGTGTACACACTCATCATGAATGAAACAAACAAACAAACAAACAAAAACACAAAGAAAAACATAGTTCACAGAGTAATGCAAAGACTCCAAAGGGATCATTTCACAGATGACTTCAGTTCCAAGAAGCAGTATGTCCAAGTATAGGTCTGGTTGTTCAAATATCAGTTCATGGGAGCCAGCAGATGGTGTAGCAGTTACAAGTTATATCACTGGACTCCTACATGATAGATCATGGTTTGAGGCCCGAACCTGGTGGCTTCAAAATCACGCCAGGCATGTGTGTGTGCGTGCTGAAGATCCCAGGAGGAGGATGGAGGAGAAGGAATTGTGGGGTGACCATCCCCTCTGGGGGGTAATTTCTCACTTTCCCTCTCACTATCTCTGTCTCTCTGGCGAGCACATGTGCATAAGGCAAAAGAAACTAAAAAAAAAAAAAAAAGGTTCCTTACCCATCGTGGTAGGTAAAACAATGGCTTCCTATTCCCTAACCCTCTGGAACCTGAAAATGTTACTTTACATGACAGAAGAGACTTTGCAAATATGATTAAGGGTAAGGATCTCGAAATGAGATTACTCAGGATTATCCAAGTGGGTACAATCTGATTACGTGGACTACACAGATCCTTAAAAGCTGATGACCTTTCCCACAACAGGAAGAAAGCACCAGAGTGAGATGGAACCTTGCTGGCTTTGAAGGCAGAGGAAGAGAGCCAAGTGTGGGTGGCCTCTAGAACCCAAGACAAGAAAACAGGTTGTTCCTTAGGGACTCAGAAAGAGAACACAGCCATTTGACACCTTGATTTTTTGTTTAAAGCATCTGACTTCTGATTCACACGACTGTGGGATAATATATTTCTGTCTTTTTGTGTTTTTTGTTTTGTTTTTCAATTTTTATTAGAGGGTCCAGGCACTCACCAGAGAGAGAAAGAAAATGATAATGTACTCTCCCGGGGAGATGGCCACATGGCCTTCTCCTTCATTATCTTCTTGGATTTTGGGCATGCGTGCACACGCACCCAGCATGTTTCTCAAGCCACTGGGTCTGGGACTTTGTGCAGTCAACCATGTAGGATCCAGCTGCCTTAACTACCACACCACCAACTGGCCCAAATTTGTTATCTTAAGCCATTAAATTTGTGATAATTTGTCATTGCAACAATGAAAATGGGTACCCTTGTAAAGCCACTGCCCGAAGCCCACTGCTGCCTGGGTCATCCTGTTCCTTCTCTTGGAATTTACAATCCAGTACAACAGGGGTAACCCCTCTCACAACAGGGTTCCAACACTTCAGCCAGCCTTAGTTCTAGCGGGGCCATGACCAAGCTTTCCCAGTCATGAAGTTTTTGTTTTTGTTTTTGTTTTTTTGAGAGGTTTTCACTATAGGGTGCATGTACTCCCAGACAGAGAGAGACATAGAGACAGAAAGTGAGAAATGACCCCCCAGGGGGGATGGTCACACCGCAATCCCTTCTCCTCCATTCTCCTCTCGGGATCTTGGGCACGCATGCACACGCGCCCGGCGTGAGTTTTAAGCCACTGGGTCCGGGACGCGAACCAGGGTTGACTACGTGGGAATCCAGTGACATAGCCATTATGCTAACTGCTGGTTCCATCATGAAGTATTTTTGAACATCACCTTTGATTATAGGGGCCTAAATCAGTGATTAACCACTTCTTTTTTTTTTTTTTACACAACTCCACCTACAATAAAATATGAAATTTAATCTCATTCTAGAAGACATGCATATATTATAGAACTAAAACTCATGTTCTAGGAAATAGTACTCATGCATTGCACTCTGATATTTTCACTCTGGCTTTATATTTTTTTAATGTAAATCGTAACCCACAGCACTGATTTTGTGATTTACTACTAGTAGGTTGCAACCCTCAATTGAAAACACAGACTAAGATCATGACAACTATGTGGTCAAGATGTAGAGTGCCTGATAGAGAGTATTATCTCTTTCATTTTTTAAGGAGCCATAAGTATTTGTTCAGAATGTAAATAATTTCTAAATGTAACTTAATTCATTGTTGAATAATATTTACCAGCGTGCCAAAAATATATTTGTTTTTTCAAAGTTAACACCAAACCCAGGATGATTTGGAAATTAAGCCTACATGGACCACAGCAGGCTAGAAACCATTTTTAAACATATATAGCAATTGGACACATGGTTTTCGTGTTCTGCTTTTCTGTTGCTCAATTTGTTCATTTCTGCTTTTATTTTTCATATTTCCCTTTTTCTCACTTGCCTTTAAGAAATTACCCATTTTCTTTTTTTAGAGTCCTTAGGTTTATTTATTGCATTTCTCTTTTTTCTGGTTACTAGTTAGAGTTCTGGCATCATTTTAAGAACTTACACATGTGCATGTGTGTCCAAAATCCCTACAGGACAATGGAGAAGGGATTGCAATGTGGCCATCCCCCCGGGGTGATTTCTCACTTTCCTTCTCTCCCTGTTTCTTTCTCTCCAGAAATCACAAGTGCTTTATGGGGAAAAAAAAAAATCTTAAAGAACGTGCGCTTTGTTTCAGTATCCACTTCATTTAAAGGTCCTGGAGGTTTCTTTTACTTTCTTAGGAGTTTATGCACTAAAAATTACATTTGTTAAAATTTAATTTGCTTTTCACGATATGGGTAGCAAAAACAATTTTAAGATTAGGTTGTAAAATAGGTTTCACTAGGTTATGTTGTGAAACAAACAACTCCCCAAATCTCAGTAGCTTGACGAAATAAAGACCTATCCTTCGTTTACTGTACACGTTGGCTCCGGCTATGTTTCAGGCGTTCATTCCAGGACATAAACTAAAGGAGCAGTCTCTGTGCAAGACACACTGTCCTTGGGTCTGAACCATGGGATGGCTCTTACAACTTCTGCTCAGATTTGGGGCATACGTACCTTCTGTGCACATTCCATAGCCGATGGAATCCATAAGGCTAAACTTGCAAACATAATCCTTTCATAGGGAGGGCTGCAAATAGGGAACCACAATATAATCTACCCTACGTTATCCCCAATAATGCTGCAACCAGAAAGGTTTATCCTTGCATCTCCATCAACTCTAAACTCTATTTTATTACTGGATTATATTTGAGACTTATCATTATAGCATTTATGTTTTCATTTTTAAATGTATCTTTAATCATGATAAATCACTATTTGTCTCCCTTAATGCTTTTTGCTATAAGATTAGCTGTACTGGTTGTGTTTTAATGGGCCATACCAGGCTGTAGTAACTACTTTGGCTCATAACATTAAAAAAATAGTTTTTTAAAAAAGATTGAATATACACACACACGCACATATATATATATATGAAAAATTTTTAATAGAGATTTTTGCTATAGGGCACATGTGCTCACCAGAGGGACGGAGAGACAGAAA